TATATCTATATATTTACTCTTATATTTACCGGTAATATACTATAGTAGTAGCTAAATAGTGGATTCTAGGGTCTAGATATAACGCTAAGTTATTAAAAATATCTTATTTTAGGATCTAAGCGCGGTAATCTAGAATTTAAGATCGTCGCTAAAGGATAGTTTTACTATAAAATTCTTTAGTAATATCGCGAAGATAATGAGATCCGGAGAAAAGGTAATTATAAAAAGTTCTATTAAAACCTTAGAATATTATTATATTAATATTACTACTACTTCTTAAGATCGTATCTACTATTAATATAATAATATTCTTACTATCTAATCTATATTATTTAGAATTTAAAGGGATATCTATCTTAGTATATAAGCTTTTAGTAAATATAATACTATCTAAGAAGAGAAGGGAATCTTTTAGGAAGAAACTTTATTAGTTCTCTTATATCCTAGGTTAGACCTAACTATAATCGCCGATCTACTATCTTAACTCCTATTAAATCTAAGAATATATATAGATATTAGTTATATTCCTATTACTTCTATAGCGCTATATAAAGATAAATTAGATTCCTACTAAGTTCCTCGAAGCTCTAAATTATATCTATTCGCCTAAGAGACTTCTTATTAGATATAGACTTAAGAAGGAGATAATCTAGATATTTATAGCTATTACTTAGAGTAACTCTCTTATAGTATAGCTATCGATAGATAAGGATAACTACGAGATCTAAGATAAAAGTATTAAAAATACTAGATATAAGCTATAAATATTATTTAAAGCTACTATTATATTTTTTAATGAAAAGACAACTAAGAAATAGTATTAAGACTCTAACGAAGTTATTATTATTCCGATATAGTAAATAATAGAGATCGGTAAATTAAGTAAATCTAGCTAATACTAGCTAAGAGTAATCTAAAGACTAAATATATATCTCGGTATTTATATTCTAGAGGAGATATAGGAGTACGCTATTCCCTAGAACTATAATATTCTTATAGGAGAGAATAAGTACTAGTTAGTATAAGTATAAAAGAAAGGGGGATAGATCTCGATATATCTCTCGAACTATCTTAATTATTAAGTATTACTAGCGCTAAAAGTTTTCTTAATATTTATACTAACTAATAAAAATTAGGTTTTTTAAGTAGTAAGTTATAAAGACTAATTATCGTAAGATTAAATAAATATTACTCTTTTAAGAGAACTTCTAATATACTCTCTATCTTTATCTTAAAGAGGTATATAATCTAAGTAACCTAGAAAAGATAAAAATAATTTAATTTTCTATCCTATAATACTCTTATATCTTTATAAAATTATTTATTATATTAAAAGATAAGATACTAAACTATATATAAGAGAGAGTATATAAATTATAAGATAGCTAGACTAATATTATATAAGATACTAAAATATTTTATTAAGGATATAATACTCTAATCTATAAAGATATCTAGATATAGTCCTCTACTAATATCTATTATCTATATATTACTATTCTAAATAATCTATTAAGGCTAAGAGCTATTTATACTTTTATAACTAGTCTATAGTATATATATTAATAGGATTTTAATCTACCTAATATATTAAATTTTAGTAGTATAAAAATAAAATAGTTTAAGAAACTATTATTTAGATATAGATAAGGAATCCTACTAACTTTTTATATTATTTAATTTTTTAGTATTACTAGAATTCCTTTAATAATATCTCGAACCTAAGACTAATAAGTTACTCTATTAGTAGTATTTAATATAGCGATATAAGTTATAATACGACTATATTATTAGGGGATTTTATAAGATATAACTTATCTCGGATCGCGAGAGTCGTAGGCTTCTTTATTTACTAGCTTTATTAAGAGTAACCCCGAGTCTTTGTATATATCTATCCGGTAAAATATACTAGAATAGTTGATATAGACTTAAATCTATCTTATATAGTTATAGTATACTTATAATATAAAATTATCGGTCTTCTATATATCGGAATATAGCGCGAGTATATAATACTATATTATAAGAATCCGAACTATAATTATATTAGCTTAGAAGAGAATATCGCTAATAGAGTAAAATAATTTATTTACTATATCTAGGAGATTAAGTTCTTCTAGGCGAATTAAGCTAGTAGTCTTTAGTAGATATTTCCTATTATACTTCCTATCTTATAAATACTTTCTAACTTTCTATAAATATAATATAGTCTCTTATTCCGAAAAAAAAATATACTAGTATCTAAGAGTTATCTAATAGAATCTCTACTTTAATATATACTACTTATATAGATAGTAGTAGAGAATAAGTTTAGAAGTAATTATAATTACTACTTTTATATTATAAAATAACTTTATATCTATCCAAGTCCTTTCTTAGTAGAATTATTTCTATATCTACCCGACTAGATAGATAGTATTCTATTAAGATATATTTACTATCTACTAGATAGACTAATTCTATAATAAAGAAGATTCCTATATAGGGTATAGTAGAAGAGATAGGATATATTAATCTTTAATTATATATATAGAGAGAAGCGAATTCCTATACTTAGATCTAAGAGACCTAACTAGCCTATATATTAATCCCCTCTAGTCTATTTCTAGGTCCTAATATAGATATACCCGAGATTAGTATCTCTTAGAAGATTTAAAATAGATAATATATTTATTTATCTATTTAATATAGTAGGGGTATAGATAACTTCTATAGGGTAGATTATCTCCTAGGATTAGCCCTAGTAGATATCTCTATCTAGTTCTATCTATATATACTTCTAATCTATCTATCTACTTACTTAGACTAGACTTTATCTTTATCTCTTCTCCTCTCTAAAACTACTAGAGTCTATCTCTAGCTCTATCTTAATAATACCTATATTATATTTTACTAGGTACTAGCTCGGGCTATTTATTAGCTATAGGTATAAATCTACCTAGGTTTTATTAGAGACTTAGGATAATCTAGGCTTACTATCTATCTACCTATAGAATAGACTTTATATTTCCTTCTATTAGTCTTACTTATATATTATAGAAGATAACTAATATCTATACTCCTTAGTTTAGCTATCTACTACCGATTTACCTATATAAGTATATATCTATTCTATTTATATATCGATTAACTTATTCCCGATCCTATTCTTATTCCTAGATAGTTCCCCGAGTTAAGATAGTAGGATATTTAAAATAATAACTATAGTATATTTATTCCTAGTAACTATCTATCCGGTAGTATATATCTACTCTTATTAATTAATATAGCTAATATAGACCTAATAAATCTCTATAATAGGTCTATCTTTAAGAGTAGAGTATATACTACTACTTCTAATAATAGCCTCTAATAGCTTTATCTTATCTATCCGTGAGATCTCTCTAGTATTTATCTATTAAATTTATTTACTTATAGAATAAGACTAACTAACTCTACTCCTATAGGCTATATCTATCTATCCCGCTAGATTTATGTATAGTAGATACCTATATATCTATAAGTAAGTCCTAACTACTACCTATTCTTCACTTTAAGAGAGCTATAAATAACTTATAACTACTCTATATCTATACCGTCTAGACTTATATAGTACTACTAATATCTATAAGTAAGTCCTACCTAACCCGACTATACTATCTATCTCCTAGGACTCTAGTTAAACTCGAGCCTAGTCTACCCGATAACCTAACTAACTCTATTTTATATTTATCTATACCGTCTAGACTTATATATAGTATCTATATATCCGATATCTATAAGTAAATCTTTAATAAGTATCTCTAAGTTCCTATAAGATCTAATAGCGATAGCTAGTCTTTATACTTATATAATCTAGAGATAAGGAAGTAAGCCCTAACTTCTAAATAGTCTATAGAGACTTATTATTTAGCTAACCTAATATAAGCTAATCGCCTATAGCTTAGGTAGGTCCTATCGATCGAGGTCTACGACTACCCGGAGTACTTCTAGAACTTTAGATAGATATACTTTATTTCGCGATATATAATATAAGTATCCTATTAATACTATAAGGATTAATATTCTATATATATTAAGATATAACCTAGTTACTTAAACTTATCTAATTCTACGGTATAATCGTAAATAGTAATAGAGATTAATACTATAATTATATCTATAGTATATAAGTAATTATATCTATAGTTAAGATTCTTAGTATACTATATATTCTTATCTATCTATAATACTAATTATTGTCCCGGAAGAAGCTTAGTATCTATAACCTAGTTAGTAAGTACCTCTAATCTAGGATCTTATCTATATCTAGCTATAGATATAATCTTAGATCTAATTATTCGGTAGTATTACTAATAATATCGGGCTCTACTAAGTATAGCTAGAATACGAGGATATCTAAGATCGGTACCTAGGATATAGGCGGGCGGGTAAGTATTTATATATATTAAGTTACCGACGAGTATCCTAGCTATATAGCTAGATAGTAGTATTAGGACTACTCTAGTATCCTATCTAGGTAGATACCTAGTAGTAGTCCTATCGGGTATACTACCTAGTAATATAATAGTATCTTAATAAATATAAGAGAATTTATAGATATCGACCTTTTATAATAGTATTATAGTAGCGAAGTATTATAAGATATTAGGTATTAAAAGTATATATCCTAATTAGGGGTATCCGCTAGGTATTAAGTAATAAAGAGTATCTAGCTATAATAAGTATTTAATACATAGCCCTAGCGTAGTCGTTATAGAAGGTCTAATATAACATAAATACTATAGTTATATAATAACGGTATTACTATAGTAGTAAGGTTTACGTACCAAACTTAGTATTAATTTTACTACGGTAACGGTGGGAGTATTACCGTGTCTTTTGTACTATAGTAGTTTATCTTTAAGGTATCCGTACGGTAGCAAAGATAACCTAGTTTAAAATTTAGTAGTACATAAGTCACGGTATCCGATTAGATACCATATTATTATAGGATCGATATAGTATTTTAAACCCCCTAGAAAACGGTATAGATTGCGAATATCACCGGGAAATGCAGAGCACGACCGTGGGACGAACAGATGTTGTTGGATTGGGATATTTAACGGGCTGGTGGAGAATAGACTTAGCTCGTGGGACATGCTACATGACTCAGAGTCACTGGCTAAGCTGTAATTAACGTCGGTTATATTTCTAGAGAATTGAGCTAGATCGTGTGATCTTGGGTTTGGCACAATTTCAACCTCTTCCGGGATTTGTTGAAGTTGCATGAATGAAGGATTTGTCTGACTCCTCTGGGGGTTTGATTCAGCACGAGGAAACGTGGAGAACGTCGTGAGCTCATGAGAGTTCATGCTTGGGTAAATAACATCGCTGGGTTGGCAGTTCGACGCTCCATCTGGCTCACCATTTGGCTCAGACTGGGAGTCCGCAGGCCGTGCACGAGTCGGAGCCACAGGCCGATCGCCGGTTTGAGAAGATGTCACATGTGCGAGTGAATGGGTGTCTCTCCTCCTCCGTTTCATTGTTTGTGAGATCATTTCAAAGTCTCTACTCAAGTTCTCAAACCACTGTGAAATATACCGTGCTGATGCAAGAACAACATTTCTCTGGCCGCTTTGGCTGTCAATAATGACTTCAGAACTATCACATTCCTGCAGCAAGGATTTTGCGAGTGTTGGTAACTCCGAAGCTGAAAGAGCTTGAAATAGAGCATACTCGAAAATTGTGACAAGGGCTAGGATTCCTTTAGCGGCATCTTTTTGGTCAGGCGAGGTGGAGTTGTCGTTCAGCAACTTAAGAAAAAGAACTTGGTTCGTTCCTCGCTGAATCCCCTTTCGCATGACATTATGGTCTGATTCAGGGTAGCCGTGTTCTCTGGCAAATCTAGTCATTTTTCCAGCAGTTTTAGGAGGATGGGCCCCGATCCCGTTGTAGAGTACATCAGCTCTCGGCTTCCAGCCTCGCGTAATCTCCCAGTCGGTGAATTGCTGGGCGAGAGATAGTTGACTCAATCCTTTCAGAAGCTTCTGTTCCTCGGTTGGGGTTTTATTGCCGTCAATTTGTTTCAGGTGGTCAATCCTTTTATCTGCAAACTACATCTCCTGCTCGGTCTGCAGTATCTCGGAAAGAGAAGCATAGGACTTGCAGAATTCGAGGATTCGAGGGAGCCTCTTTTTCGCAGCTCCGATTAATGCCGCGGAATGTGGATCCTTGGTCGCTTGTCGCTTTCGTTTGCGTGTAGTGATTTCCAGAGAAGTTTTTGAGGATGACTTGGAGAGCCCACGGCCCGGTAGGCTTGAAGCATTGCTCTCTTGAGAAGGCGTGCTTGAGACTATGAGTTGCGAGAAAGTATCTGATTGTGGACGTTGGGCTTCTGGCTCGGTGGGTCCATAGGGTCCGCCATGGACTCCCACATTGACCCTGTTCGGGGCTTCATCTTCAATCCAATGGGCGTTGATAGCCCGTCCAATCTGTGTTAAGGTCCGAAGTGCCAGGTCACGATGAGTGTTGAGCATATCACTAGGCGTATCACGAAGAAGCTTTAACGCTGATAGAACCTCAGCTTCTTGGGGTGCCATGATGGGTCTCGAAGTAGCTAAGAACTTTGGAAAACTGCGGGATTGATTCCTCAAATATAGTTTGGGCACCGGGGGCGGGGCATCGAGCAGGCTCCAATACTAGCTGAGAGGCACCAATTAAAGTCTTGATCTGCCGCACACGGATCACAAGTATAGACTGCACCCCCTGAAAGCAAAATAGGGGACTAACGGATGGCTAATGCCAAGACGTGGCATCCCACTTGCCTACGGCCACGTCAGCTGTGCATCTGTGTCCCATCAGCGGAAGTTTAACATGTGCCATCGCTGCAGAGTCCATCACACGGAAAATGACTTGGAATCCCAGCTCAAACCGCAACTGGAAATTAACGTGAACAAGTCTCAGGTGGTGCTCCTTTCGACAATACTATAGGATAGCCACATGACCCGCAGCCCCGGATGGCCGCGTTTAGCATCTGCTTTAGGTTGTTCTTTTATTCCTACCATGACACAAGATCGCACGAAATGTTGCCGCAGAAACACGAGCAACAGGAATAGAGGGTGTTCGTCGACCAATAAATAAGGATTTGTTCCCGCCGGTGCTTATTCCACGCGCGCGAAAAGGATTGGCTCTAATCCACTTACAGGTATATGCGGGAGATTCTCTGCATGATATCCAATCTCTGCACCGCCTTTGAAGTGGAGAAAAACAGAGGTCTAGGTCCCTTGTCATGATAGCACTTCCCTTCTCGTACACCACCTACTTACGATATAAATATACCTTCGGGCGACCTTCGATGGGAAAATGACCTAACGTTTACTTCTCTCATTGTTTCTGCCCACTGTTAGCTGAATTGTTTTCAGAATGTTCAAGTCAACAGCCCAGCGCCTTTACAAAATCGTTGGGAAAACCAAACTAAGTGACCTCCCTCCTGAGTGGCAAGCTCCTGTTTCTCAGTTTCTTGATGCGGAAGAAAAGGCTGTGAGTGACCAGCCGATAATGTGAAATTTGGTCTTGCCTAACAAATACAATAGGACCCGAATTTCAAGAACGCTGAGATAAGGTCTTTCTCTGCAACATATGTCAACCTTGAAACTGAACTAATAGAACAATGTAGGGGCTCCAAACCGCATCGCTCGCACGATGATCCAGATGATAAGGAAGATGTAGTATCGATCCGTCTCAAGGATGGGGATGACAAGACCATGCGAAGGGCCCACGTCCACCTAGATGGCTCGTCCAAAAAAATCAACATTGGTTGATTCTTGCCATTGCTGAGGCAGAGGATATCAAAGCGTCTCAGATAGCCTCTATTGTCGTGACTTTATCACCAAATGATCCGAGAGTACAATTAAAAATCAACATACGTTGAACGCAGGTACATTGTATTGTCTAGTACCGGTCCAATTACCTCACGCGTAACAACACAAATGGCCTAAGCCGTCAACTGAAGAAGTTTCCAGCAGGCAAGACATTACGGCGATTTTAACCAGGGGTCCGACAATAAATCCTTTGCTGAGGCTCTCTCTTCTGGTCGCCATTGAAGCATCTTGCGCATGAATTCAAGGAAAAGCTTCTGTTGCGTCCCATGCAAATTCCCTTCGAGCTGCTCCAAAGTTAATGAAGGAATCGGAACTACTCCCTTCCAATTGCCTTTATTCCTTTTAGTCAAGCTCGGGTGATATTAACTGATTGAAGACGTACCTTCACCGTCAAAAAATTCCGCAGCATATTCACTGCTCTGGATCATCTCCTTTGGTGGCGGACCAAGAAGTGCAATCATTTCAGCGATGTGATGAGAATCTGAGTTCTTCTTCCTCGAGTCTCTGGCGTAGAATAGATGCCCTTTGTGAAAAAGATCCCAGGTCTGTGAATTATTCATTGTTAGTCGGAGTAATCTTTCAGTGGACATAATCTAATCAAGCAAAAAGGCAGAAAGATGCCTGCTTACAACGACTCCCACATTCCAAATGTCGACTTTTCGATCCCAAGACATTCGGAGGAGTACCTCTGGAGCTCGATAAATATAAGGTTGAATGTCACCAGAATATTGAGAGGATCCAAATCGAGCTTGACCAAAATCACACAGGACAGGCCGGCCATGTTGCTTCGTTCTTCTGAGGCTCCGAGAAGAATAGATCACCCGATCCCCGGTGATCTTCCGAGGGCTGGGATTGGATTTCTCCTCCTCCTCGAAATCGGACAATATCGAAACATCGTCAATCCCAAGCATGATATTCTTTTCTTGTATATCTGACAAAAATTGAATCAGGCCTGATTTTTTTGGAAGATATTGGAGTCATCATACCAGTGTGAACAATGTCAGCTTCCGTATGCAGAAAATCCAGGGCAAGTAGGATATGGTGCAAAGTCAATTTAAGTATTTTTTCAGGGAGTATTTTTGCTGCAAATTGATTTCGAAGGTCATACAGACTTATGCCTAGAGGTTTGTGGACGAGGCATGGATAGTAAGCATCTGCTGGGCCAATCTGGAAATTATCCAGCGCCGTGCGAACAAACATGGCGCCCGCGTGGGTTGAACTGGCATTATTGAGGCGATCATAGACTTCAATTTCTCTTCTGCTTTCGGTTGACTGGCGCTCAAACACCTTCAATGTGACGTAAACATGTTGCCTATCCCATGATTAATTCTTGGCACATTGATCCGCGTGAAGGTCCAGCGAACGTACTGGAGATCCCTGCCAAGCCAAACCGTCGAGTAACCCCCGAACCCCAACTTTCCAATGACTTGGTATCTGGAGTGAAGAACTTCACCAATTTTTACAGGATAAAAGCGACTCTGTGTATACCACGGAAGCGTTTCTTCCTCAAGCAATGTGCTTGAATCGAGAAGTTGAAAATTTGATTGTGCAAATTGACGCACGGGTGAAGCAGGACGCCGAAACAGGGGGCATTGTCGCAGGCGCCAGATCAGGCGAGACATCCTTGCCACCGCAACAGCTAGTTGAGTGAACTTGATGAAACCAGGGGAGGTGTCGACCCTTATATCGCATAGCTAGACCACATGATCGATGACTCAGCATTTCTGCATGGGCCGCATGTTGCCTCGGTGCCATGAGACCGCAGCCAATGATGAAGCAGAATTGTGCCGATTCTGCCACTCGAACCCGGTTGGGTTGCTTTATGGCCCTAAAGGAACATGCGTCAGCATCGCTGAAAACAGCAGGCGGTGGAATTCACCGCCTTTTTTGGGCAGCCAACTGAGGGAACTGAGGTAAATCACCTTCAATTCTGGATATGCAGTTCTTGCAAGACTGCCTTACAAGACGACGGTTCCAAAACATTATGCCATTACGCAGTGGCCAGTGAAGCTACCACACTCGCTCTTCTGTGTGCCGATGGGGTTCCGTTCTCCAAAGTCCTGACGTATTCTCCAGATAAGACAAACGCCGTTGGAACCAAATATCTTCTTGAAAGACTTAAAAGGGCTGTCTTCCAGAGTATTAAGGATGGTTTGATGGAGCATTCAAGCACTGAGATGGAGAAGACAGCGGTCGTCTACCATTTTCCTTTCGATGATCATGAAGAAAATCCGTGATATATTTTAATAATAAAGCTCTCGATTATAATAAGACATGCCGTTCTTATACACGCCTACGCCAACCCAACGCCAAAGGGAAAGTGCCTTTACATGAAAGGACACAGAGGTTCAAAAGCCGAGCAGGCGATTACCAGGGATACCCACCCATTCTTGAAGGTGGCCTTAGGCTACACCGGACACCGCCTCAGTGCTCAAAGCTCGCCAAACTTGAAGGGGTGCACTCTGTTGAGACGCCGTCACTGCACACTCTTCCCACTTTCGTACAGTCTACCGGGTAAATGCTTGAGGGAATTCGCCGGTTGTCAACAAGTGGACTACCGCCGTATTAAGCGTAGGGTAAGGTTTGACGATATACGGTTGGTCGTTAAGTATATACGCGATCAATATATCCAAAGAAAAGTAGGTATTATTTCTGTATCTCAGTCAGCGCACAGCAATTTTTCCCCTAAAATAATAGCACTAACATTTTCTTTACTGCTTCCCTACTATATCGCAGGAGAAAGCTTAGGCCGAAGAATCGGGTACACCACCACTAATACTCACCAAGCCGCTTATTATTATAGAAGAACTTCTTTAATCTTCTTTTGTTTAGCGCCGACAGGCCACTTATGTTATATAAGTTATTAGTGGTAGTTTGTTTAAGAGCAGTCGCCATAGTACCCCGTCTTCTTTCGCATTCAATTTCTCTTTCATAAAACAGAAAGAGAAGAACCCTTAAAACAAGTAGCCTTAAATAGTGCGTCTCGTCTTTATTCTGTAAAGTTACCAGATAGCGTATAAGCCCGGCGCGATTAGGCGACGAGTTCGTGCGCGAGGTCTAGTTAATCTTCTAAGTCGCCCCGTCCCAGAAGCCAGAAGCGAACTACTACTAGGAATATTATTCCAAAAACCTTAGAAAGTCAGGTATAAGAAGATAGTTACCTATACTACGTACTTAGGATCTCTCCCTTTCGGTGAGTCTTGAAAAGGTTACGTCTAGGAGGCTAGGTTCGTGTATTATACTGTAGTCTGCAGGCTAGGGAAGAGGACTTTTAGAACTCGAACTAAATAAAGATAAGTCATCACTAACGACTAGGTCTCCGTTATCGGCGGGCAAGGAAGATTAGGACGCTAATTATATACCGCTAGTAGGTAAGGTAGAACTATGACTTGCTCTTCTTGCTACTGGATTATTAGTTTCTGGGGTATACTTTCGTTTGCGACTCTTGCTATACCTACCAACCCCTATATCATTATCTATCTTAACTACGTTTTTAAAATATCTACTAAAATTATTAAAAATACTAAAAATATTCGAAAATAATAAACTTATAAAAATATTTCCTATTATTAAAGAGTATTATTTTAGTTATTATTATAAAATTCCTCGTCGGTAATCTTAAGATATTCCGAAGGAATATCTATAACCGAGATACCTCTTAGCTATAAATCCGCGATTTAGTTCCTCTATAAGAAGTATACTAGTCTATACTCTATTTAAAAGAGTTACGGATAAAATTAAGCCGGTAAATAAGACTAAAAATAATAGCTCGGTATCTATAGGGTATATAAATTAGAAAGAAGTCTATAAAAAGAGATACTTTACTAAGTATCGTGCTCCTAATATTAAGACGGAGTTCGATAATCTACTAATTTCGCGGATCTCTATAATTATAAGAGGAGTTTATTTAACGCTAGAAAGAGAAGAAAAGATATTAATTAGTAAGGATCTTCTACTAAAAGAACGAGAGTTACTATATAAAATACTATTTAAAAGGAAAGGATATTTTATATAGGATTAGTCTTATATATCCTTAATCTTCCCGGAGATAATACTACCTTAATATATTAAGACGATTCTATATAAAGTATAGTAATATCCTAGATTTCGTATTCTGCTTATACTAAAAGGAATAGTTAAAGAGATACTATAAGAAAGACTTTAAAAAGAAGTCCTTAAATATTATAATAGTCCCTACTAAAATCCTTAGTTACTAGTATATAAGAAAAATAGAAAGTATAGATTAGTTAATACTATAATATATATTAATAAAGTAATAATATATAATATAAATATACTACTAGATATAGATAAATTATTAAAGAATTCGTAGGAATAGGGATATCTTTAGCTATTAATCTATTTTCTAGTTAGAATTAGATAATCTTAGATAGTCACGACTAAAATATAACTATAATCTAGACTCTAATTAGTCTACTAAGATAGACTATCTTACTATAAGGAGCTTCGAATTTAGTACTATAATTCTAAAGGATAGTCTTATAGATTCTAGCTAATATTTTATATATTATAAAACCTTTTATAGATAATATACTAGTTAAAGGTCCTAAATCGCGATATAAGGATAAATTTATAAGACTAGGAATATATAAATTTATCCTAGAATATATATAAAATCTAGATAAGACTCTATATCTTTTAGAACTTATAGGAGCTAGAGTATCTACGGAGAAATCTTAGTTAGTAATATTAGATTTAGAAATTATTAGCTAGATATATAATATAAATAGTCGTAGGCCTAATAAGTAGAAGATTTCTAAGCTTACTAACTAGCTAGTTCCTATAAATTATAATAAGATATACTCTTTTATTAGACTTACGGTCTACTTTCGGATCCTAGTAAGAGATTTCTTATTATAGCGTAGTTATACGTGGTAACTTAGGACGATTCACGATCGAATCGACCCCGCGTCGCCTTAGGGTAATAACCCTAAAGGCTCTATATAGGGCTATAGGGACTCGGTATACGGAACCCCTATATATATATTATATAAACTAGTGAAGTCTACTATACCCTAAGATTGAGTCTTTAAGAATTATAACTATAGACTTAGACTCTCTGCCTAGCTAATAGGTTCTCTGTCCTACGATATAGACCCTCTAATAATTACTAAATCTTCCTATTTAGCTATATAGAGAAGAAATATCTATACCGATAACCTATTAATAATCCGCCCGTCTTACGGTAGCAGAACGATCCCGATAAGTTAGTAAGGGGCTTAGGTAACCCTTAAGTAAACTTAGCCTAACCTCTCGGGACCTAGAAGATAGATCTAGTTTCGAGGTACGATCTCCTAAATAGGCCGAGTTAAATAAATAAAATACCCTTAATTACCTCCTAGCGCGGATCTAGTAACTCGAATATAAAGCTATAATTCGGTAATAAGATATCCCTAAACCTTAATCCGTATCTTCTCTTCTCTATCGATCCTAAGACGTAGAGATTAAAATTAATAATATCTTATACTACTTAAGCTCTATCTTAATCCTAGAGTAACGTATTTAGTAGCTCGATAAATTAGAATATATCTTTAAAGCTAGTCCCGACCGATACGTAAGTAATTTATATAAGATTCCTATTAGATTCTTTATATTAGAACTAACCTAACGGATCTAGTAGATAAATTATAAAAAGACCGAGTCTATAGCCTAATAGCCTACCTAGGATAATTTCGTTAACTAGATACTCGAATTTATCCGAAAGAATCGATTTACGGAGGCTAATATTACGGAAAAATACTATAGCGCTTACTAGCTCGAGGACTAAGACCTACGCGCGTTTTATAACTACCTCTAATCTATCGAAAACTATATAAATATTTAGGAGAAAGAGTATACTCTTAGCTACTACGTAAAACTACGCCTAGTTCTTAAAAATAAACTTAAAGTA